TCCTCCTGTGTATAAGGAAAGAACATGAGGATCCACTGTGCCCCTTCTTCCTCCTGTGTATAAGGAAAGAACATCAGGATCCACTGTGGCCCTTTCTCCTCCTATATATGAGATGGTTAGCCAGGAATGTCAGAAATGTTAGCTAGTGCCACACCATTTTGTAAATCTCTCCATTTTGGTTAAATGGTGATCATTAAAAAAAAAAAAAAATGCCAGGTGGTGGTGGGGTACATCTTTAATCCAGAGGCAGGCAGATCTCCGAGTTTGAAGCCAGCCTGGTCTACAGAGCAAGTTCCAAGACAGCCAGGGATACACAGAGAAACCTAGTCTTCAAAAACCAAAAAAGAAAAATAAAAAAAAGAAAGGAAAAGTAATTTGCATTTCCAGAACTTAAACAACTTGTTTTTCTACCTTTCTGCCTTCCCTGTCCTGTGACCCCCAGTAAAGGATCACAGTAGATGTTTATCATCATGTGACATTCTTTAACACACCACTCCTGAGGTTCCCCTGAAGAAAAATGGGGAGTCAGAGAGGCAGACAGACTTGATTTCAACAGGTTGAGACTGCTTTGTTGGAACAGTGAGGAACCTTTTCATGGGCTGAAGGTTGAGCATATTTAGAGAGGCTGAGGAACAGGTGGGGACACACACACACACACACACACACACACACACACACACACACACACACACAAGGGTAGCTAGCTACCAGGAAGTTAGAGCTATTTTTCTTTTTTGTGTGTGGTTTGACTAGAAACAGGGTGGGTTGTTTTTAATACCCCAATACCCAGACATATTGTTTCTGCAAGTGGGGAGGATCTGCCAGGCTGATGCCAAGCAATTCTTTATGTCTAGGGGTATTGCCAGATACAGCCTGACTCAGTTTCTCATGATCGGAAGCTATTACCCAACAAACCCTAGCAATGCCAACGATGGCCCCAAATGGGAACTTTTCGATCATTCCACCCCACCTCACTGTTGTGAAATATCATTTTAAAGTGTGTTACTTTTGTTTATGTTGCATTGGTTTAACTCTGTGGAGCTGTGTTACTGTGCCTGTCTTAAAACACCTGGTGGTCTAATAAAGAGCTGAACGGTCAATAGCAAGGCAGGAGAAAGGAC